ATATTCAACAAAAACCAATTTTTTCTTTTATGATACAATTTTTTTTTTGTTGTTATTGTTGAAGATAAAAAAATATTCAGAACTTGAGCGTTTCATCATCATCACTCATTCAGCTCTAGGGATTGTGCCACAAAACTACATTGCTTATAATATTAGAACGAAAGCAACTGTACTTATACGGAGTACATTGGCACCATATTCGCTTGTGTCTTCGTGTTTTTATTTGGATGACAAGTGTCCTGGTCGATGGGTTTAGGATTACGGCAGCCCTACGCTATGGCATTCTTTAGAAAAAAAATATATTCGTCTAAAATAAAAACAAGCGAAATCGGCCTAATTTTATATAACCCTGCCTGACATGAAAATTTTCTCCTCGATAAGGCTAGTGGCCATTTCTAACTGATTTTGGATAGCTTAATCAAAAATGGAAACATATATACATATTTGAATTTTAAGAAACCAAGGCAAATAGCAAAATCGGCTAAAAACGGCTTTATTTTTTTTTTACAAAACGGCTAACAAATCGGCTGCCGGCTAAACCGAAATTTCTCCGGCTGTTTGCTATCGCAACCGGCTAAATCTAGCTGGAAAACGGCTAAAATGGCAACACTGCTGCAGACAACTTGTTGGATTGCTGACTTTGATAGGCGTACATGACAACTCCATTTTCCCATCCTGCCTTGAAGAGGACGACACGACGGAACACGTTTTGTGCTTTTATCACACCTTTGTAAGGATTAGGTATGAGGAATTTGGTCGCGATATGTTGAGAGACGAACAACTGAGCTCTTTTAAAACACAAAATAATGTGCTTAGGGTTATTCGAAAATCGACAAGATTAAAAGTGACATGAGAACAGTAAAATGGGCGGCATGTAGTCTGAGTGCTGTTTTCTGCAAGCGTTGCTTTGTGCCTGGTTCCGACAAAAAAAAAGTATATCAGAGAAAACGACTACTCAATAAACCGCATTGCCAAAAAATATGACAAACTGGGACTTTATCATTGAAAACTATAATATTGTATATTAAGTTTTTAAAAAATGCCTTCCCCAAACAGCCACCCTGTATGTATGTATACACACATGTATTTAAGCTTGCATATTTCGTCAGCGGAAACAGTTTTCCATTTGCTACTTTTGGCTTATTCGTTTTTCTTGACCGGTTCAAGCAAAGTTTTTTCCCTACCTTTGGTGTTCATTTGCTTCGATGCACTCATTGCTAGTCTGCATTGGCATGCAATGCCGACAAAAAATCGTATGTAGTACACCCACCCACATGTTGCACGTTTTCTACTTTTGACGTGCCACTCGCCTTAATTCCGCCTTTTCAGTCGATAGTGGCCGATTTTTCTTATACATTTTCCTTTGGCGCTTTGTTTTTATCTTTTTGTATACATAAGTAAGTACGTGCGGCTTGCAACATCCTTCCTGGTCTTAAGCAATTTTAAAATATACACACATGCTTACATACATATATATATTCGCATATAGTAGGTACTTATGGATGCACACCTTTATAGTTGATAACTGGATGCCTTGGTATTAGCGCAAGCCCATTTAAGTGGATAAGAATTGTAGTGGGTTTCATATGGGACGTTGAAAGTAACAATATGTAAAAGCCAATTAATCTAAGAAGTGCAATGGGGTATGGTCGTTCTTTTGGTATGCAGTTACCGTTCGCGAAATCTGTGCAACGAGAGCAACTCATGTGCGAGATGCGATAGCACACCCGTGTGAAGCCTTGGGTTATGGCAGAAAGGGTAGCAGATCGGTGTGGACGCTACGGCTTATTCGGTTTGAGAGTTGACTGAAGTCAGCGGCGTTTGTGAATCAGTATGGGCGGTTGCAAGCTGGAGGCTGTTTTGATCCCAGAACCTGGTTTTGCCGTCGGGCTTGAGAACCGCCATGCATCGCCGAGTACAGTCGCTCACCTCTCGAACAAATTCCTCGCCACAATCTGCATCATAGCGAGGTTCTTCAAAATATCCAACGACCGGATGGAAGAGAAAAATGAGGCGACCACAGACCTCTACTGTGAGGAATCTATTAGGTTATTTGGTGACACCGCGTGCATGTGATTCGGTAGCGGTTTAGTGACCCGAGCTACTTCTCGCCACTACACCATATTGGAGAAGTATGTACTCAGAAGTTTCAGCTATCCTGTCACATAAACGGCATGGATGATTAGACCAGATCGCGAGTTTGTTTTGGGGGACTTATTAATCTGCAATGACGTCGGACGTTAATGAGCTTATCGTTATATGTTTTTCTACTGTGTCCTCCCAATAGCTTCTTTGTCTTGCGCTGCTCAATTATTTGGTTCCAGTGAAGTTCTCTACTAGTTTTTTCTTCTCGTCTAAGCTCTTCTCTGATGTCGTGTTGGTGTTGTTGGTGCCACCTTCTTAGCACCTAACAAGCATGTCTGCCTCTTCATTTCCTGTTTGGTGACGTTCTATATTGCCATGTTCTCTAGCCCTATTTTGAAATTCCTTTGGAAGCTAATAATTCTCTGATATTCCGTGGAAATCGGGTTACAGGTATCTGATCCCTGAGAAATTTCATGTTCCATGCACTTTCCCTCTACCTCAACCATCTCAGTTAAAGTTTTTTAGCGATTGTTTAGTTGCCTGCTCTATGCTAAAGTGCAGCTGCCTGAGCTCGAGAATAGCCTCAATTGATTCCATAGGGGCTGGTGCACACACGCGAGGCATTGTAGTTTCGTGAATGAGCGCCTCAGAGTCACTAGGTTGATGTGGTCATGTCGACGTGCTTCTTCCATGAGAGTTTTGTGTCGAGAATGATGTCCCAATATCTCACTTCCAAGACGATGCTGAGCTCTATGCCATCGAGAGCTATAGTTCTCATTCCCGGAAGGGATCTTCTTCTTGTGAATGGAATTCGCCATAATGAAAAGCACTCTTGATTGCCGTTGTTAACTGTTAGAGGGCTGTCTCTGTGGATCTCTCTGCCCTGTAGGCGTGTTGACCACGGTGTAGTGGGCTAACTTTCAGAGTATTCGACCGGATTTCATTATAAATAATTTTCTCCTTCGCCTATAAAAAAAAGGATGTTGCTTGAAGGATTTAGCTAAGAAGTAATCCTTTCTTCCAATCTTCGATATAGACGTTACCCGGCCTCTCCTCTACAATGTTTGGATGAAGGCCAGGGCTTAATTATACTTCATTATATCTACTAGGTGTGGGGTAACTAAATCCTCTCCACGTTGTAGTAAAGCCGGATAAATTCCATTCACGCGTGGAAAATTATAAGGGTTAAATGACCCACCCGACACTGTCTCGCGTGAAGATACTTTTGTAAAGCCCCAATTGGATGAGGTTGGTCTAAATATTCAAACAGGCATTTCTATAGTCTGGTCAGATGAATACAGAAAGTGTGTGGAGAGTAGACTGCGTACTCTTTCTGCCTTGCTCTGAATGTACGTAGCATTTGGTGTGTCTCTATTCCACCGTATGCTAGGGCTTTGTGCATTCTTGCAGCTGCAGAAGTGAATGTTACTTTCTCACAGAAGCAAGTTTTCCCACTTTTCGTATCTCTGTATTTTATATAGTTGGACTAGCGGTATAGCCCCCCACAGCACCCACTTCTTTTTCCTATATGAAGAAATTCAAAGCTCGCCTTTCCTGAGCTTTCGGGTGATTGCCGGGTTTTGTTTTGAACTCATGGAAGCTACATCTAGGCCAGCGATGCTCAGAGAGAGCTTTTACTTTGTGCGCGTCCATATAAAATCTACAAAGAGCTTTCAAGAGTTCCGCCCGCGGGCGCTATTTTGAGCATCACTGATCTAGGCATCTAATATGGCGCCGTTGAATCTCTTTACTCTATATAAATACCAACTCCATACAAGCTGTTACTCTGCCCTAACGATCCAAGTTCTGTAGGTTCTCTTCCATCACCACTTCGAAATTGCTCAAATTTTTTTGGGTAGGTTTAAGGCAGTTTTAAAGAGCCACAAAGAAAAGTGTGCATTCTGATTTCTGTTTCTTCATAATTATGTTGTTTATAGCGCCGAAACAAAAAAATTATAATAAGGGCATTCATAATGTTGTCGTAAGCGTCGAATTGTTGTGTGTCGCAAACTTCTCAGCGGTTAAAAATATATTTTGTGGGGTTCGCCAAGTATGTTAAATGTCATATTTTAAGTTTTCTGACTGTTAAAGGGAATACTGTGTTGATCTCGAGTGCTCTTAACATATGTTTTACCGGTAAAAACTTTACGATATTACGACACTTACGAAACCTTGTGAATCACCTTAATTTTAAGGTAGTAAACAGTTATTGACTTTTTTTACCAATTCCATTTGTTTACAATTGGTGAAAGTAATTATTTAGCATGTCACAAATTTTGCTTGATAATGATATCATTTACAAAGTTAAGCGAAAAAAGTCTAAAATGGTATTTCAATTAATTTCACGGAAGGTATAACATAAGCAACTGATTCTAGTTCAACTGCCGCGACAATTGAAACGAGTGTTGCTACATTAATAAACAGCAGTGACATTTTATTGCTACTTTTATTTGAGTAGATATTTTTGCACGATTTTTCAATGGGTAATTTTCCACCAATGCCGGCGTTGCAGCTTGTCACCTTGTGATAGTTGCTTGACTCGAGTTGACTCTTTGCACCCCACCAAACCAAAGACTAAAAAAGTTACCTGCGATAAAGTGAACGGACAGATGGACAAAATGGCAACGGGTCAAACTGGCGGCAAGACAGCAGACAAGCGAGGTGACGCGATACGCCGATATTTGAGTAGTAAAGAAATAGATACAATAAATTAAAGGTATGATCACCCGCGGCGGCGCTTGCGCCACAGTAAGGCGAAAACATCAGAAGTGGTAAGCGAGTGCATACATACTTCTGTCTATGATTGCAGGAAAATAAATACATACATACATATTGTGCTATACACACGATACACCAAATGACAAATATAAATTGAAAATATGGCATTATAAAATTAAATTTTGGTTTTCACTTACAGTCTCGACTCATGCCCGCCGACAGGCATTTCTTGAAGCGACAATACTGGCAACGATTTCGATTCAAACGTATCACCAGACATTTACCATCACGCAGGCAACGATATTCGATTTGTTTTTGTATGCTGCGGCGAAAGAAACCCTATAAAGCAAATAAAAAATAATTTATTTAAAGGCACAGATAATAAAAATAGAATACAAAATATTTATTTGTTACTGTATATTGCTTTTTTTTCTTGATCTGATTTGACAAATTGTTACATTGCCTGTGTGTGTGTTTGTGTTTCTCACCTTACAACCCTCGCATGAGGTTACACCATAATGGTAGCCGGACGCCTTGTCGCCACAAACTTTGCACGGCACAAATGATTTCGTAACGCTGTTGGAATTGGAGTCCGCTATGGCAAATTGCTGATCTGCAATGGAAAAAATGAGAGTTGAGTGCTAATATTCTTTAAGCGACTGCTCTAAATTGGTATTGAATTATCAGGGCTTATCTATAATCTCAGCCACGAAGAGGTTAATCAAAACTAGAGCAAGGACGCACCGCAAGACTAAATCACCTGAAGGAAATTGCTTCATTACATGAAGACGTTTGAGAATAATTTTTTTTTTAGAAAATGGAATAATAAAATACGACACAATACAGTATCAGCTGCTGTAGTGCGATGCGCCACATAGGATGGATGGTAAAGGTAAGAAAATCGTCGACGCTGTCCTTGACGACGTAATGTGCCTAGAAAATCTGAATGGCCAGACATTTGTTTGATCCAAGAACTGGTTTCTTTGAGTCTTACTCCTGCAATAACGGCCACCTCGAGCAATTTCATCAAGCCGATGTAGATGCAAGATTGCAATGAGGGCGAGTGTGGTCGTGAGCGCACCCTTGCGTCACACTATTTTGCGCTCTTTGTATGCATAACTAACCCCCTTCTTTCATTTAGCTATCTGAAAAGTAAATTCGTATATGATAAAAATAGGGCCAAAGCAGACCAGGTATACGGGGTTTCTATATATTTCATCTGCAGCGCCATCTATTGGGTAAATTTTTTGCAGAAGCAATTAAATGAATACGCGTTATGAATTTTAACCAGATTGCACAAAAAATACGGATTTTCGAAATAACTCGACTCCAGCGCCATATTTATATATATCAAATACATTAGGGCGAGTCAATTTGTAAAGGAAATTTTTTCGACTATGCGCATATATCACAGAAGGATTCTAAGCAAAGTTGCCGAAAAACCATGGGTCTAAATATAATTTGGAGTTTGCCAAATTGCGAAAATGGGTTTTCTTAGCATTTTGCTATACTGTCGTACAAGAGGGTTTTTAGTATGAGGAATCCATTTCTGCACATATTTTTTTTTTTTAAACTTCCACTAGAGGGCGCGAGAGTAAAAATTTTCACCTTTTCTGCGAAACCTATTTTCGCGATTTGGGAAACTCCAAATAGATTTTAGACCCATGTTTTCTTCGGAAAATATGCTTAGAATTACACGTAGAGTCCTGCTTTACTATACGCGCATAGTGAAAAAAAATACCCGCCTTAATATACATACATATGTATGTTGTGTATAAGTTAACTAAATTCGACTTTTCAAACAGGTGGCAGGCTTTTTCAAAAGTATTATTAAATCTAAATCTTGTTAAATCTCTTTCGTCCGACCAATTATACCAATTTTAAGTAATGATGGGTTAAGTTGAATTTGATTTTTTAAATATGTACCTGGCAACCCTTCTGAATAAAGTTCCGAAATAAAGCCTTTTCAAACCCATTTCGATGAATACCCAGCTTTTAATAATTAACTTATGAAATAATTTGAATTTAACTTTATAAACACGAAAATATCCTAAACGTTCAAACCAAAGATTTCTTACCACCCTTTCGTTATGTAAAAAATTTTCAAACCAAACTGTTCTTAAACTACTTTCGTCTGACACCCATCTTCTGACACATATTTCAATTACCTAAATGCCGCAATTATATTGAATTTAGTTTTAAAGCAAGAGTATTTTCCTGCATAGTAATGAATAATTAATCTTAATCCTAATCTTAATCTTGATCGAAAATTAAAATGAGTACACAGTTCTCTGCCATAGTTAAGTTTATTATTAATTCGCTTCTTATTAAATTGGTGGAGCCCCGACCTCTAACATTGTGGTACACATTTCACTTAAAACGGATAAATGAAGTAAGTGGTGGCAACTCTCCGATATATATGTAGTTTAGAAATAAAGCGTTTTCAAACCCATTTCTATTGATGCTCATACTTTAATAATTCATTTAACTTATTAAATAATTTGATTTTAAACACTGTGGTGATGGATTTGTGGTAGAAGGGAGACTCCCAACGTCTGGCAAGATCCTTTAACATTTCGCTCATCGGCGCCCTCGTCCCGACAGAAAAGAAGCACGAGGCGTCCAAGGACCTCTTCTATGAGCGCTCGGTATCAAAGCCGTGCTTCGTGATTTCAACGCCAAGGGATCTTTGGTGCCACTGTCGGAAAATTCAGCCTCCACGACGAATCGTCCGATAATGGACTGAAGCTTATCGACTTCGCCGGGGCCCAAAACGTGGCAGTATGTAGTACTACGTTCCAGTATAAAAAGATCATCAAGCTACATGGCTATCTTCAGATCGAAAACGAGAACCCAAATCGATCATGTTGTGATAGACGGAAGGTATGCTTCCAGCGTTTTAGACGTACGTATACTCCGAGGGCCAAGCGTCGACTCGGGTCAATTTCTCGTTGCAGAAAGGATACGCACGCGCCTATGTGCAGCAAAAAATGTCAAGGTGATTTCCTTTCATGTGATTTTTTTAATCTGCTGTTGGAGCAAATAATAAGAGCCGCAGAACTGAACCGCTCAGGAACTATTTTTTACAAGAGCCTGCAGTTGCTTGAGTATGCCAATGAAAACGACACCATGGGTAATAAAAATCGCGAGGTCTGTTCTGCCTTTTCCTAAGTTGGACAAAGAAAGCTAAGCGAATGGGTCTGTGGTGAACGAGGACTAAACGAAGTATCTCCTGTCATCAGATAAACAGTCAAATAGTAATGCTTGGGTTACAATGCACGGGGCGGAACATAACAAGTCGTAAGGACCTGTCCGTAACATTTCGCCCTTTCCATTAACAAAAAAAAAACACTCTATAGGTCACTCATCAGGCACGTGCTGATGTATGGCGCAGAAACATGGCCAATGAGCCGGTTCTTGGAGTTTTCGGGAAAAATATTCTGTGAAGTATTTACGGGCCTTTGCGCGTTGGCGATGGCGAATATCGCAGACGATTTAACGATGAGCTGTATGAACCTGGTGGAGCGATGGTGGTAACAGAGGAAAAGGAAGGTCTCCTCTGCGTAGGAAAGATCAGTAGTGCGTTTCTGCAATTCGTCTCGATCAATTCGGTTGGATGGAAGTAGTAGATTTGAGGTGTAATTCAGCCGTTATCTCGATCGAGAATTTAGGCGAAACGAACTACAGGTGGAAAAGTACCTGGCTTCATTTAGCATTTACATTTGACGTCAGTTGGCACAAAAGAGAAACGACTGGTGTGCTGTTTTTGGCGGTTACAGCGCCAATGAAGAAGAAGAAGAACGATATTAGGCTCAACGTCACTTTTGATCTAAGTAAATACAAATGACTCCTTTAAGGCATAGAAAAGTAATAGCATCAGATTATTATCTATATTTTTATAGCCGAGCACAAGGGTTTTATAACTTTGTTCACATAACGGTTGTTTGATACAGCCAGAACGTATGAATAAAAAGTCTGCCGTGTACACGATAACTCCAGCAAAAACTCGAGAAATCTCAACGAAATTTGGTATGTAGGTTGCTCTCTATTCAAGGTACGTTGGTATTGAAAATTGGCGAAGTCGGACTGTAACCACGCCCACTTCCCAAATAACGGTATTTTAGAAAAATGCTAAAACTATGATACTTTTGTAAATATTGGATAAAAAATGTTGAAAATTACTATGTAAACTAGAATATCGGCAAAACATAATATTATTCTGAAATTTTTGAAAAACCTGCGTCACCCCACCCATTTATGATGAAATGCTGTATCTCAGTAGCCGCTACACCAATCCTTACCAAACTCGATAGGAGCTTGGCCTAGGGTATAGCTAAAAAAGCTGTTGAAAATCTTTGAAATCGGGCAATAACCACGCTCACCTACTGTATAACGGTAATTTACAAAAGCATGAAAACTGCGATAAATCAGTAACTACTGAAGCTAATTCACTCAAAATCGATTATTGCAATAACCACTTAGCAGAAAAATAGATGAATATAAATTTTTGGATAATGGGCGTGGCGCCGCCCGAAGGATATACATATGTATCTACACTTAATTGCGTTGCCACAGGATTGACGGTTAAAAATTTTCTTTAAAATTAATTTAAATGCTACGTGAATAAGAATATACTAATGCAAATAAGCACTTAAATCTGTAGAGGTTGCTGGAATATTTCAAACTTATTTTCTTAAAAACTGTTTCAGGAGCCATGCGAATTTAACATAAATTTTTGCTTCTAAGTAAGATTTAAATATAAAAAAAAAAAAACTGTGACCCATAGTTATAGTCAAAACAGAGTCGACTCTAAGAATATTTGCAGCTTTTTTGACAGATATCTCATTGAAAATTATGTCAACTATAACTTGACTAGAACAGCGGGCCAATATATTTATTGTGAATGCAAAGGGAGTTTAGAGAAAGTTGAAACGACGACATTTGATACCTGCGGCGGGTATATAAAGTTCGGTTTCGCCCGACTTATACTTCTTTACTTGTTCTTTTATCAAACTTATAGCGTTTTCTTTTCTCGAAATAATGTTGCATTTATTCTGCCCTGTGCCAGGGCTGTCAAGTTTTCGTGCTCTTTTATCAGTATCGTCACATGTATATTGCGTAGGGTTGCCAACATTTGCTTAGAAAGTTATAGTACTTTTTCAAATAAGCCTGAAAAGTATAGTACACTGTAGTATTTTTGCAACAGTATATAGTACGCAGACTGGCAAAATAGTACAATATTATATATTATAGTAGGGTTGGCAACCCTAATATTGGGGGTTTTTCTTTGAAATGTTGCATTCAGATAATGTTGCCATATGAGAAGGCGACATTTTTTTCCAGAAAAGAAAATGCAATTAAAGCAACTAATTAATTCCTGAATAGCTTGTCCAATACATGCTGGACGCATATAAAAGCTAACATAATTAATCGAGTGGTCGCCAGTCATACACACATACATACATATATACAATGTTGCTCATACGCACTGTTGGTTCAAAGTGGCGGAAAGCAGTGAAGTGAATTCGTTGTATGCCGATGTTCCTCGTTGATGTGGAAATGAATGAACGTGATTAGTTTTTCTCAATCTGAGCTTCTGTTTTCCTCTTCCTC